TAATAAGTTAAGTAGACGAGTACAACGATATATATATATATATATATATATATATGTCTATATATGTATATATATATATATACAAGCATTGTTGTTTGGCATATTGTAATTTACTACGCAATATAAAATATCCCACACACAAGTGATAGCGTGCCCATGATACCTACATACCCGAGTAGTAGCGTATTGCGTTTTGACGACGAAACAACTACCGTAGGGGACATCAGGAGTGGACACAGTCGCATTCATAGTCGCCCCACCCTGAAATAAACGCGGTTTTCGTTGTTATGCGTTAGGATCGAGGTTTACACTGTTATGAGTGTGCGTGGGGGGGGGTGGGGGTTAGTGTCTTTGCTTTTGTGAGTGCGTGTATGTGGTTGTGATTTAGAATCGCAGAGTTTCGCATCGCAAAACACTGCGACTTCTTGGCCTGGCACAACTTTGCCATACCAAATGGAATACAAAACACACTGTACAAAGTAGGTAAAGTACACCATCATTTACAAACAGAACCCTAAACCCTAAACCCAAAGTACTTAAGCATACCATCCTCAATCGACATCAAACCTACTAACAGAAGTACATCGCTTGTCGCAAATTTTCTACGGCCAAAAACACCAATTGTTAACAAGGAGCCATGGACACAGCAGATAGGACACTCCACAGCACCCCAAGCCACGATACAGATGAAGTGCCGATTTTAATAGGGATTATGGACTATACCCTACACCCGAAATCCTAAACCCTAAAACCCTTAAACCCTGTACCCTAAATTTAGTTTAGCAGCTTAGCTTCTCATATGAACCCGTAGTTCATTCGTAGATGCCCGCAATAGATGGCGGGTTTAGGGTTTATAGTTTAGGATTTTAGCGATGCTCGATGTGCTTCTGATTATACTCGGACACCGCACACTCCCATCATCACGCAGTGTAAAACACCGACACTGATAATCCGTGCCGTCTCTATTTGAGCAGAGGAATATAATATGTCGGTTGCATATAAGGGCAAAAGACTATTATATCTCAAACCTTAAACCCCAAAACCCTAAAACTGTCAAACTATCCCGGTGGGAGATTACTAATGCACCGATTCCATATATAGGGTCTGAGTGTGCAATGTACACCTACACTAAAATCAACCCCAAGAACCCTGAAACCCTAAAACCCAAGAACCCTGAAACCCTAAAGCCATCCCATTTAACCCCATAGCGCATACCGGTTCCACACACAGGGTCTGTGTTTCCGTCGCCTCTGTGGCTGACACCAGACTGTTCGCGGGGACTACATACGTCACTGTGCGTTGTGAGAGCGTCTCTTCGCGTGCGATGTATGGCTCTGGGTCACCCATCGCCGGCAGTCCATTGCCCACTGAGTAGATGGACGTGTTGGCCCGAAACGACGTGTCCAGGTTGGTGGCTGTGTGGGGGTAGGGTGTAGGGTTTATGGTTTAGGGTTTGTCGGTTATTATTGTGTAGGCATCCCCTGATGTATTGCAAAGGCTAAGTGTCTGTACTGAGACTATTTCTGCCCAATCTGTTTGGTGTTTCAATTGGGGTTGGCCCTGAGCGGCAGCCGATGGGTGCCCCATGATTGTATTGTGTTGGGTTGCTGTTACCTGCAATGATTGGCTTAGTTTCACACACACAAACAGACACCCACAAACACACACACACACACATACATACACACACACAGAGAGAGGTGTGTTCATAGTCCTCACCTGTGCTGTCTGACAGTGGCTGTGCGTCGCTGCTGGCAATGGGCTCCCACGCGGTGGCCCAGACGTTCGTGTTGCCGCGTGCTTTGTAGTACTCCTGGTACAGCTTAGAGCCGTCGTCAAACAGGAACTTATTGAGCTGCGTCACACTACAGGGTATGATGCAGTCTACATACACATTACTCAGAGAGGGTGCGAGTTCGATTGGCTCAGTTCCGGGTGGGTCGCCCACATCGCCTTCGTAGAACCCAAAGTCGATGTTGGCTGCAGGTATCCTGGCTATGCACACCAGCACCCAACCCCTGCACGCACGCACGAGGGCAAACATACGTATGTACACGTGAGAAATGCCCGAAAGGAAGTGTGAATAAGATATAGATGTGGATATATAAGACAGCGGGAAGTAGGTGAGTAGGTGAGTGGGCAAGTGGGTAGATTGACTGTGACGTTTCATCTGCATCTACATTCCCAGGGGCAGAGACATACATCCACTATGGCAATACCAAGAACCGACAGAGTATGTCTTTTGAAATAACAGAACAATGTGGGTTTCTCTCTATCCTGTAGACTACTTCTTCTCGCAGGTATACATTCTGTGTAT